TCTGTACCTCACTGCAGTGGGGTCCACACAGCAGTGCAGCATCTGTACCTCACTGCAGTGGAGTCCACACAGCAGTGCAGGGTCTGTACCTCACTGCAGTGGGGTCCACACAACAGTGCAGCATCTGTACTTCACTGCAGTGGGGTCCACACAGCAGTGCAGCATCTGTACATCACTGCAGGGGGGTCCACACAGCAGTGCAGCGTCTGTACATCACTGCAGTAGAGTCCACACAGCAGTGCAGCTCTGTACCTCACTGCAGTGGTCCACACAGCAGTGCAGCGTCTGTACCTCACTGCAGTGAGTCCACACAGCAGTGCAGCGTCTGTACCTCACTTCAGTGGGGTCCACACAGCAGTGTAGCGTCTGTACCTCACTGTAGTGGAGTCCACACAGCAATGCAGCGTCAGTACCTCACTGCAGTGGAGTCCACACAGCAGTGCAGCATCTGTACCTCACTGCAGTGGGGTCCACACAGCAGTGCAGCATCTGTACCTCACTGCAGTGGGGTCCACACAGCAGTGCAGCATCTGTACCTCACTGCAGTGGGGTCCTCACAGCAGTGCAGCATCTGTACCTCACTGCAGTGGGGTCCACACAGCAGTGCAGCATCTGTACCTCACTGCAGTGGTCCACACAGCAGTGCAGCATCTGTACCTCACTGCAGTGGTCCACACAGCAGTGCAGCATCTGTACCTCGCTGTGGTGGTGGGGGGAGTGAGGAGAACTGCTCTGTTCTTAGGAGACAATGTTTGATGCATTTCTTTACTTTAAAAAATAGTGCTTCCTTCCAAAAGAATTGTACATTTGTACAAAATATGAAAATAACGTGTAGTGTAATCTCTCCCTGGAAAATGATTGTCTTTATTGCGGTCTAGTAAATGCTCATTTTTGAAACTTTTTTCATAAAAATGAAATGAGTATGCAGAATGCCTTCTAGTTTCTTTTGGCTTTTTGCATAAGAGGAAAATGAGGACCTGCGCAATCTAGAGGGGCAAGTATCTGTGCCAAAGACACGTGCAGAGTGTCCGCTGCAAGAGGCCTGGAGAAAAGGAGTCTGGTTTTATGTCTCCTGGGTGCACAGTTCACTGTCAGGGGTGCTGGGAGGTAGAGGCAGTGGAGAATTGATGGTGGGGCTGGGGGAGATGGGGCGGGGA